GGCGGCCGCCGGCGGAGCGCGAGCAGGTGAGCGGCCCCGCGGGCCTCGGGGGTCAGGCCGGCGCCCCGGCTCTGGGCGCGGTCCCCCGCGGGCGCGCCCCCGCCTTCCCGTGAACGCCGCTTTTCACCTTCGAGCCCGCCCTCCCGGGCTGGTCCTAGGGGGGCCGCTGCCCCCCGTCTTGGCACCTCTGCGAGGCGTGGGCGCCTTTCCTGGGTGGGCTCCCGGTGTCTGCAGCTCGTGGAGGGGTGAGCCCTGCGACAGATGTCCTGGGGGGACGGTCCCAGAGCGCGTTCTTCACAGGAACACAAAGGAGACCAAATATCGTTTAAAAAGTGAAAAAGCAAGGTAATCGCTTTCGGTTTGCACCACAGGTAAAGAAGTGTAAGGCGCCAGCAGTACAATGGAAAAGAGAAGTCGGGTGATTTTTGAAACTCCAAATTTGCTCTCACTAAATGTGTGACATTAGGCATTATAACACATCAGGTATCTTCAAGATTAGGCAAGAAATGTATTTGTGGGATGAATTTTCAGCAGCAAATACAGTCATTGGCTTCATAAATCCCGAGGTAAGCCAACCTGCAGAGTCCCATCTCCGAGCAGGATGACGCGTTGCCTTGACTACAGCCTGTCCTGTTGGGACAGTCCATGGATACCTCTCCCCTCTGTTATCCTCTTGCACCTGTCCTTCCTGTCATATTTCGCAAACTCCAATATCATCACTAAAGACATTGATAGCTACAGTATAACTTTCTGTAGCATTTCGACCTTTTATTTAGGAAACAAATAACAGTGTGGTGCGCAGAAACAATGCCTTTGCGTTAGGTCTGCTGGCCATGGGAAGTGTAATTTGTCATCCTTATGACAATATAAGAGACAGCGACTGAAGGAAATCATTGATAGGCACAAGGTCTTCCAGATTCCCTTCTTGGTGTTTTTTTTCCGGGTAACTGTACCATGACTCAGTAGCTAAAGGGCTTACTTTCCTCTTACTTTACTTGTTCAGCTGGAAAAAGTGAAGAAAACAGGCAACAGGAACTGCCTTGGTGATGGGATGTGGGGGTTGCCTTTGAGGTTCCCAAGGTGAATTTTCACATGCCTGTAGGGAAGCATGTAAAATACTTCATGTGAACCTCTGTGGACTTGGCATCATCAGTAGCTCTGCTCTTACCAAAATTGCTTGTGGTACAAAGAAACAGGATGAAAAGGAAAAAATAAGAATGAAACGTATATCCCAGGAAACAGATATCGCTTTGGGTATCTACTTCTTTCATTGCATGTCATGGAAATTAATTTTTCTGTAATCCTATGAAAATATTATCATTGTATTTTTATCGCATTTATTTACATACACAATAATTGAAAATTACACCTGAGACATGCATTTCTTCCTGTATCAGAACTAAAGAACTTCTTTTCAAGAGGCCCCAAATAAACAAAATTGGTGCAACCCAACCCATTGGTGTAAGAAGCAAGCTTTTGAGATAAGTCATTTCTTGGTAATATCACAAAGGATTGTTTTCTAGCTTTTTTCCAATTCCTGCAAATGTAACGTAAATTTGTTGTGCACTGCCTGCCATAATGTTAGAGATAACTACAGATAAAATGTGTTTGAGGGAGAAGTAAATGAAATCACAACTACAAAACATATCCTAAGTAGTTGTTATATTTAGTTTTCATTTAGGGGGATGGTGTGTTTTTGTTTTGTTGTTTTAAAGACACATAAACTCCAAATTACAAATGGAATGTTTTTGAAGACTTGGGTCCGTAAACTAGTTATTTAAAACTTAAAATGAACTTTTCAGTAGAAACAATATTATAAACAACATAACCAAAACTAATTAGCTGGAAATGAGGCAGAGGCCATCTTCCTGCTGTGCTTTCTATTGTACTTAGCAGCTTGCTCACTGGGCTTCCAGAGTCTCAGACTCAGAGTGAAGTGGAGGCGGGTGGCAGGAGCAGTCCAGGCTCCTCAAATGCAACAGCTGCGGAAGGCACCTGACACTTGCTCCTCCCGTGACTTTTGTCAGTCACTGCCATTCTGGACTAAGTCCCTTTCTAGTGCCACTGCTTCACAGAGTTTCGCCCGTACCTGATAATTTGGTGAAGCAGGTTTCTTCCCCAGGCTGCAGGCTCCTCCACTAACCCCCTTTCCTTCGCTAATTTTCTCTCCTCTCCTGTCTGAAAGGCTCACGCCCTTCTCTCGACTGAGAAGGCTCTTACATCAGCTTTGACTCTACGAAAATGACTCTATCATTGGCTCATGGTTATTATGATGCCAGGTCAAAATGTGTCTATATTTTGTTATTTATTTTATGTAATACTGAAATACTGGTATTGATACACTTGTTTTCTTAATAATGGAGACATTGTCAGCAGTAGTTTTGCTCACTATGTGGAAGCATCGAATTTTACAGTTTGTCCTTAGATGATACTTAGATGATCGGAGAGAAAACTCTGTGCTTTTGGCCAGAGCCTTTCCAGGTAGAATGATTGACAGAGGAGTCCTGGTTAAAATCAAGTATCCTAGGAAAGGAGGCCTAGAACGATAGACAAAGTCCTCTAGATAAAGGAACTGTGTCAAGTTAGAAGTAGGAGTCAGTCCTCTCAGAGGTACACAGGGGAGATGGCAAAAGCCCAGGGAACTGAAGGGACAGGGCTGTCCTACGTGTGTGTCAGTAATCGTGTGTCAGGAGGTGCTCCAGTCACTGTCGGAACTGAATGCCAGGTAGCTTGATGGAAGTGAGTCTGTGGCCTGCTGCATAGCTGGAAGGCTGAACACCTGCAGTCCTTCAGTTACCTGTCTGTCGTGTGAGTGGCAGCAGCTCACAGCCTGAATAACCTAGGATGGCCCTGCTTACCTAGAGCATGGAGAGGTCCCATTATCCTTAGATTGACTTCAGAATCCTTAGCTTTAGATTTAAGGTCTGTGTTTATGATTATAAAAGTAATGTGTACTTTAGAAAATGTAGAAATATAGAAAGATCTGCAAAGGAAAACAAAAGCATTTAGAATCCCACATCAAGTAATATTTTGTTACAAAATATCAAACATTTGGTATTACTGCATTCATATATCTCTATGTATATATGTATATACATATATACATAGAGATATGTTTTTAACATGCATTAATGTAATATTTGGTATCTTGTTTTCTATACTTGTGGTATCATTTGCCTGCATTATCAAAAATTCTTTGTAAAAATTATTGTTAGGGCTGCCTACTAGTCCATTCTCCCAGTACAGCACATTTAAGTTGCTTTAAATTTTCTTTTATAAATGATGCTGTAATGAAAATCTTTGCTTAGAAATCCTCACAGTTCTACCTTGGAATAGATTCCTAGAAGTAAAAGGACTAGGTCAAGGAGTCAGAATCTTTGAAATACCTTGAACATCTTCAAGAACTGCATTCAAGAAAGGGTGCACCAATGTATATTCCAGCATTGGTATGTAAAGTGCCGACTGGAAACCACCCATGCCAGCAGTGCACGGTAGCATTCATAGATTAATCTTTGCCAATTTAATAGGCAAAAGTTATCTGATTATGTAAGATTTTTCTGGAGAGGTTTATAAAGGCATTCATATACATATTGAACATTTGTAATTTAAAAAAAATCATGTTCTTTGACCATTTTTTCTGATATTACTAGAAGATATTTATCCCTATTTCACAGTGATTATAGATACTTTCCCTGCTTGCTACTTATTAATATTTTATAATTTTGTTTATGATGTTTTTGATTTAGAAATGCTTTAAATTTTTATTAGCCAAAGGGATTTTTTTGATAATTTCACACACACACACACACACACACAAATATCTATATATTTGTTTAGAACATTATTTCTAATCCTACAATCAGTTAACTATCCACCAACATTTTCCTTTGAGTGTGTGTTTTTATGGCTTTGGTTTTTTCACCCTACGTACTTAATCTCTTTCGAATGACTATGTATTAGGTTGTCGGAAAAGTCATGACATATGTTTTCTGTTTTTCATTGCAAAAATGCGTCATGACTTTTCCGACAACCTAATATTATGTAAGGTATGGAGCTAATCTTTTCCCCCGCCCTAATCATTGAATAATCCACTTTCTCCCTGGCTTTACAATCCTTTGCAGTAGTTATAAATAATAAAGTCTTCCTTAAGCTAATACATTGTGAGATTTTTTTTTTCCACATCGTGTTTTTGCTATTGGTTTCTAGCTATTGGTTCTTATATATTTAGTTTTTAACTAACTAACTTTTTGAATTTTTTTATTATTTCTAATACTGATAAATACCAGTGTCTCTTAGATTTAAGGTTGATTTTGCTTCCTTCCAAGTGGTAATGCTTCATTTCTGTTTCTTGCCTTTTGCAGTGCCTGGCTCTTTCAGATCAATGATGGCTCACAGATATTTAAGTAAATAAATGTAGGAACCTCTGTAAACAGCATTTACTAAAATGTGTTCCACGAGATCATCTGTTTAAAAAATGGCAGTGGAGGAAGACCTTACGCTTCCTCTTTGAGCTAGCATTAAAACTACGATTAACAATACAAATTCAAGTCCTGGAATGAATCCTAACTCTGCAACTTATTAACTGTAACTTTAGGCACGTTACATAACCCCTCAGGTTTCAGTTTCTTCATCTGTATAAAGGGAATAGGAGTTGTATTCACCCTATAGGATCGTTGGGAGGATTACGTGAGTTAATAGTCTATGTGAAGTGCTTAGAGCGGTCCCTGGCACAGGAGTAGTGTGTGAATCTTAGCTTTGGGGCCTAATTTCCAACCAGAACACTAACTGAAAAGAAATCTGAGACATGGCGTTTTTAGGCTTTCTAGGCTCTGCAGTCAGAAAGTCACCCTTGGAGGAAAGTGGAATAGAAAAGTGTTCCTCAGCTTCAATGCACAGACGAGTTAGTGGTGTCTTGTTAAATGGTCTGGGGCCAGACCTAAGATTTTGTGTCTCCAACAAGCTTCCTGGTGGCGCTGATGCTGTGCCCATGCCCCACCCTTTGAGTACAAGGGACCAGAGGATAAATAAGCCATAGTATCTATCAGTAATGATTTGTATAAGGAAGTTATTTAGCTGTTTCCCTAGAGCAGCGGTTCTCAACCTTCCTAATGCCACAGCTCCTTAATACAGTTCCTCATGTTGTGGTGACCCCGAACCATAAAATTATTTTCGTTGCTACTCTATAACTGTAATTTTGCTACTGTTATGAATCGTAATGTAAGTATCTTTTTGTTTTCCGATGGTCTTAGGCGACCCCTGTGAAAGGGTCATTTGACCCCCAAAGGGGTCGCGACCCACAGGTTGAGAACCGCTGCCCTAGAGGGTATATTTGAGCTCTTGGTAAGATGTGAGAAGCCAACAGTTATTCCCCAGGCCAAGTGATTTGCATTAGGTCCTACAACTAACTGGTACTAGAGAGCAGATCAGAACCCAGGAGTCCTAACTCCAAAGCCAATGATTTTTCATGTATACAAAGAACCTGCCCACATGATGGGAGAACAGTCTGACAAAACTGCTGCCCTCCCTTAGATTGTGTAGTTCAAAACGAAAAACTCGTTTATACCCACTTCCTTTCACGTCTTTTCAAAACAATTTACAAGCAATACTGGATCAAGTGCTATGAGTTTAGATGAATTTGTGCCTAAAATTAATCTCTTCGTGTTCCCAAGGACATCCAGTCACTAGAGTAACTCTGAAGATATTTGCATGTGATAGGCATCTTTTGTTCTTTTTTAAATCATTATTCTGAGTGGAATCTCTAAATCAGTGGTTCTCAAGTGGGGCAAGTTTTGCCCACAGGGGCATTTGGCAAAGTCTGGGACATTTTGATTGTTAGGACTAGGAGGTTCCACTGGCATCTAATAGGGAGAGTCTGGGGACACTGCTAAGCACCCTGTGATGCACAGAACAGTCCTGTGCCACAAAGCATTATCTGGCCCAAATTGTTAATAGTGCCAAAATTGAGAAACCCTGCTCAAAATGTTTTAGGGTTACAGTGCTTTAAGTTCTCAAGAATAATCACTCTGATGATAAATATTCCAATGAATAGGTAAAAATTGTTCATTGAAGCCTGCACTCTCAGCTGACCTTGTATGTCTGTCGCCAGCTGCTCTTGATATGCGACTTTATTTTGCTCTCACATTCTCACATTCTTTTTCTGCCACTCTTTCCTACAAACCATCTCTTTTCTCTCTTTTCCTATTGAGCGTCCCATTCTCCCATTGTCTTTTATTCTTCCCTAACCATCTCAGCCACTTTCTCATTTTCTCCATCCATCCTCTCTTCCCACTTCCTCCTCTTTGCAGAAACAGAGCATTAAAGATCACTGAAAAAGGTTTTGGAGTATGACAGTTCTAAGTTCTAATCCTGGCTTTACTACTTTATTAGCATTGTTGTCTTAATTATTTCATCCCTCGTGGATTCATTTTACTCATTGTAATGGGTATAGTGCTACTCACTCC